CGCTCGCGCTTTCCACGTCCACACCGCCCCACTGCTCCTGGCGTAACATCGCCAGCAGATCCTGCGGGATGTGGTGGGCGATGACACGCAACCCCACTTCCCGAGCCCCTTGGGGGGCCTCGTACAGCAGCCGATTGATCCAATCTATCGGGTAGCGCCCGTCCTCCAGCGGGGGGGGGTGCCGTGCGACCTCGCTGGCTGGGACCTCCACCCTGACGCCCTCGAGGCTAGTCCCGATGATAAGTCTGGCGTCCCCGCCAGTGCCCCGTACGTCGAGCCCCTCGCATTCCCCAATAGAATAAACCAAGGACTCGCCGGGGGCGCGCCGTACGCCTCCTCGGCTCCCCGAGGGTCGCCCGGGAGTATCGGGCAGACCTTCACGAGTAGGGGCTCCTGAAGCCACCCGTGGTGGGCGATCCGATCGCCCGGGGCCCCGCGGTCGGCAGACCGTGAGCGTCCGCTGGCCCTAGCTTCCGCGGAGCGTGTGCGACGCGGCTGCGGCCCCGAGGTTAGGGCCTGCGCCCCCGTGGGCCCCACATCGACAGATGGGGCCACGGCGGGCGGTGGCGGTGCAGCGGGGGGAGGTAGAGGCGGGGGGTAGACCGGCTCGGTCGCAATGCCAACCCCATCGGCCGCGTGCGCGGTCCAATCGCGCACCCTGGCGGGGCTTGGAGCCCGCGCCCGCATGCGGCGGCGCAGGCCCCCGAGGATCCCAGGTTGGACCGTCGCCTCGACGCGCACGGTGTGACCCTCGTCCCGTCGGAGATGTTCCCCGCACATCGGGGCCCCCCCGCAGCTACCCTTCGCCATGCGGAGACAAGTGGGGAGGCTGCACTTGCGGCCGATCAGGGTAGACCGATACTTCTGCGCATGGTGGGCGCAGAGGTGCACCTGTGCATTGAGACAATGCCCAGGCCGAGGAACGTCCGACACCTCCGCGTCCTCCTGTAGCAGGACAGTGGCCTCCTGCATCCCTCGGTCGCCGCACCCCTCCGGCTGGAGGGGGCGTGCGCCACCCGCGAGCTGCACCCCAACTTGTGCGGCTTGGCAGGGGCGCTCCTCCGCCTCCACCTCGCTCTCCGAGTCGATGTCCAGGCGGCGATAGCCCGCGGCGTCGGTGATGTAGCGGGGCTCCGGCCGGCCCCGGCACAGCCATCCGAGTACCGACCAGGGTGAGCAAAGCAGCCACTTGACGACCCCGAATACCTTCCGGAGTCCCACGCCGACTGCTCGGCAGGCCGTGGCCCTTCCGTGCTCAGCCAAGTCCACAATCTGTGTGTGGTCAATGGCCGCGTACTGGTCGACGTGCATGGGATGCGCCACTGGACAGGAGGCGCACTCGACAGCACGACATAGATGCACATTCCCTGTCTCCTCGAGGTTCAGCCGCCACTTGCGACTGGTGCACCCCAGGACCTGCCCGATCTTGATGTTGAGCCCGTGGCGGTCCAATCGGTACCGGTCCGCGAAGTTGCAGCTGATGCGGGCCACCTGCCCGTGCTTACGCAGCAGCACGTGGTTGTACGCCCGATTGGTCCCTCGGCCGCGGACCCCCTTTGTGTAGAACTCTGTCTCCACCACGCCGCCCAAGCCCGGCCCGCGCCAGCGCACCAGCAAGGGGGTCGGAGGGGGTGGGGGAAGATGGGCGCCAGGCCCATCCCCTCCGCGTCGCTGGCAGCACCGGGTAATCTGGTACCACGCCCAGCGGAGTCCCCCGGCAGCCCACAGCATAGGCTGGGCTGCGGTGTTGACGATGAAGGCCAGGGCACCCAACACGAACGTGAAGATGCCTAGGGCAAAGCATAAGACCACGGTCTCCCACCAATACCCAAGCATCTTGACGCCCAGGCGGTCGACAGCGGATCCAAACCATCCGCCACTCGTGCGGATCGTGCCCGGATGGTCGGGGGAGCTTACCCACGCTCCATAGCCCACGACCTCGAAGACCCAGGCTGCGAAGCCCCAACCGGGACCCGGCCCTGCCTCCGGGGGCGGTGTAGGTGGCGGCGGCGGCGGTGGGGGTTCGCTCCGGCCAGCCCACCAATGGGGCAGGTGCGGGACCCAACCACTCCACCCCCAATACCCGTCCGGCCCACGCGGCAGGTCAGGCTCACCATCGCCCGTCCGGTTTCCCGGGGCGGACGGCTGCCCAGGCGCGCCCGTGGGCTCGTTGTTACCTCCGTATGCCGGCGTAGCTGGGCTGCCTGTGGGCTCGCCCTCGCCTACGCGCCCGATGCCCGCGGTCGTGGTCGTTGTAGTCGACCCTGACCGCGGCGGCGGTGGGACGCCCGGCGTCCCCGGGGGCTTGGCCCGCGGCCCTCGCCCCTTTCCCCCTGCAGGCGCGGGCTTGGCGGGCGGTCCTCGCCCCTTGCCTCGCCCCCCACCGCCTGCCGGCGGCGCTGTCGGCCCGGGCAGGGCTGGCGGCGTCGGCGCTGGGACCTCATGTCCCCCGCGCCCGAATGGCAGCCAGCCAAGTGCCCCTTGGACCGTAAGAGCGCCGCCCGTAACCAAGATCATCAGGTGCGCCCCCAGGAAGCCCACAGCCATGGCACCACAGGCGCGCTACCTAGTCCGCGGACTAGCACGGCTGTGGTTATGGCCGCCCCGCGGCCCCCTGGAACACCCGCGCGTCGGCCAGAGCCGAACGCTACGGACCCAAAATGGCTACCTGAGCCCACACCCCCTCCCACTTAACCTGCAGTCTACAACCAATCAGACTATACAAGGTGGTGGTGCACGTGCGTGCGTGCGTGCGTGTGTGCGTGGTTGGTACTGGTGCTGGTGCTGGTGGTGGTTGTGGTGGTGGTGGTGGTGGTGGTGGTGGTGGTGGTGGTGGTGGTGGCGGTGCGGCGCGGTGGTGGCGGGCGGATGGGCGCGCAAGAAAAAGGCCCGCGCTGGGGCGAGAACGCCATCCTGAACGACGGAGGCCAAACACCGATCCGAAAATGAGGCCCACGCTGCAGCGGGAGCACGATTCGGAACGATTCGGGAGCAGAAATGAGGCCGGCGCCTCAACGAGAGCAGCATGTTGGGAAAAAATGACGCCGGCGCCTCAGCGAGTCGTTTCCCGGGATTTCCCGGGAATCCTGTGTAAAAAAACACTACGCGGAGGGTGCGCGGCCATCACCCGGACGCCATCAGGGGAAGAGGGAGAGTATTTTCATATTGAGTAATTGTGGAGGAGGGGGAGGAGGAGGACGAGGAGGAGGAGAACGGAGGAGGATGAGGATAACGAGGCTGCGGGCAAGGAGGGGGCGTTTGAGACCCCTGGCCAGGAACGGCAACAAATCCCGGAGTGGGTCTCAAGCTCCACTTCCTCTGCTGCGCCGACACGGCCGTGGAATTTGCGGAAGGCAGCCGGATGCTTCCATAATGCGATCGCGCTCCGTTCGAGCGTGCACATCAAGATCCTGACCGTCGCATGACAGATTTCGTATGTTCAATGGCCACACTGACGTCTAGCAACATCCAATCAGTGCCCCCAGAGCCCGTCCTCGCTTGCTCTCTTGAATTCTTCGCTTGCCTTCTTCACGTCAGTTTTGGCATTTTCCAACGCCTTCGCAGCTTGAAAACCTACATGAGTTACGTGATCTCCGCTCTTCTTTAGCTGCTTGAACCGCTTATCTGCCGCAGACAGGTTCGATTCCGCAGTCTTCTTCCGTCGCTGGAAGTCGTGTATTGTTTGCTTAGCTTTTGTGAACTTTTCTTTCAAGGTGTTTACCCTTTCCCTGCGCTGCAAGATCGCACAGCTTGACCAGCGAGCGGACAATATGCTGCCATAACTTCGGGACACCACAAGGAACGACCACAACAGACCAACGAGTAGACGAACCTAAACGCATGAGATCGGCAACGCGACTCCTGTGCAAAGACTTCATACAGATCGCCCTGACGCGATGGAAGACGATGTGACATATGCACACTCACAGAGAGAGAGAGAGAGAGAGAAAGAAAAAAGGATAGAGCGACGACGAGGACAGGGAAACAAAGACAGAAACAGGGACGAAGACACAGAGAAAGAGGGAAATCATAACAGTCGCAACAACGAGTGGACACCATCCAACCTTAGCGACCAGCTTCTATTTCATAGTTTCTAACCGACAGCATGAGAGACGGCACAGTGCCTCATACGCACACGAGCCTCGGAACAAACACCCTTCTCTTCCGACCAATCAGACCGCTGACGGTCAATCAAGAGTAAACATTCGAGCCGCGTATACCTGCGGCAACGATGCCGCGCCGCCAGGCCAACAAAACGTTGCCAAGCATATGGTGACAAAGCAAACGCACGAGTTGGCACAGGGACGCAAGGGATGAATAAACAGAAACAGAGAGAGAGAGAGAGAGAGAGAGAGAGAAACTGGTGAGAGAGAGGGAGAGACAGAAAGAGTGCACAGGTGCAGAGACAGAGAGGGAGAGGAGAAATATACCAGGAAACAAACGCATGCGCACCCACGCATGCGTGGCAACCTCTGGGCATCCTAGGCACGCCGGCGTGGGCAACCCGTGTGGGAGGACGGGTTTACCTCTCCACATCCTTCTGGCAGCCTTCCGCCATCCCTGCGGTAGCAAGCCTGGGTCCGAGTGCCGAAAATGGGCGGCGGTGAGCGGGAGCCTCATGGAATCGATGCGGAATCTTTTCCTCTCGAGCCTGCGAGGGGCTACGTACAACACAAATGTAACATTTCGACGTTCCCTCTGAAGGCGCGATGATGTCTCGCACTCCTCTTCGGGCGTGGTTGGGTCCACCCTCGCCCGTCAACATCCCTCGCGCCCTTCACTCGGCATCCATCACGCTACGAACTGTGCCAGGCGCCCCTGCGGCTGGCTCTGCGCGGCGGGAAACCTCGGACATTTCTCCTTTCGCGGCTTCATGCTGCACGGCTCCTGACTCGGCTGCGCACTGCACGTGGAATTACTCGCTGGGACGGCACCCCAACACAACTATGCCACCTGCATACTGCACCACTGAAGCAATGGCGTATGGCACTGCTTCCGCATCATAACATCGCGGTCTCGATGACTGGCTGCCCTGCCCTGATCAGCCCCTCGCCAGACTGCAGGGTCATACGCGGCCCCTTCACCAGCTCGTGGTGCCGGGTCGGGCCCAGGGCCTTCGCCATGATATCCGCATCTTTCTCGTTCGCCGGGACATTCTTGATTCGCACCTCTCTGCTCGCCACCTTCTCTTGCAGCCGAAGGTACTTCGCATCCAAGTGCCTGATGCGACCGACGCCGAGCCTCGAGCAAATCCCGATCGCCGCCGCGCTGTCGCCAGCCACCGCCGCCATCATCTCAACCATCATCACTTTGAATAGGTTCTTCGTGAGGATGCCCCTGGCCGCTCCGTTCGTCGTCTTACTGTACTCGGCCCCTCCACTGCTCAGCGCCCTCGAGGCCCGCTGCCCTGCCCAGCTGCCGATGCACGCCTGCCCACGCACCACCGCGGCTTCGCCTTGCCACTTCGCTTTCAGCCCAACGAGAGTCGGTCACGATTGTGATCTCCCTCGGCATCTGCCGGGGCCCAAAGTGCCAGGTCATCCACGGATGCGTCGCCAGGTGCGTGGCCAGCCGCTTGAGCCCCAGGTCGTGGATCTCAATCGGCGCCTGCATGCCTCGCACGACCCAGCTCGTCGCGAACTGGATGTCCGACCCGTTCGCGGCCAGATAGAGCACCGTCGGCGTCACAGACTGAAGCGCTTTCTTCTCGTCATCGCTTAGGATGTCAAGCGCCGTCGGCACTTCCTTCCCTACGTTCTTCGATGATGGCGAGATCTCTTGATGCCGCCAGCTTCCGATGCGCCTCCGCCAGAGTGACTGCGCGCTCGATGTCGCTCTCCCAGTGGAAGCCTTCCTCCGTCCATTTCACAGCTCGCTTCAGGAACTTGCCAGACTTCGCCTCACCCCCAGCCACCAAGGGCCCGATGAAGGGAGACCTCTTCACCTCGAACTTCTCCTCCAGGACCTCGTTGAGCCACTGCAGGTCGACGTAGGTGGACACCGCCATGAAGTCGTCGCAACGCACCGCCGCGTAGATGCTCTTCTCGACGTGGACGAACACCATGACCGTCACCTGCATCCTGAGGGATCCTGGCGATCAGCGCCCCTATGATCATGCGCTAGAACAGCTTGCTCGCGCGCCTTGTGCCACGCATCGCCTTCGCCAGCTGCCACGCTACGTTCGGCTCGTCCTCGCCGACAGGCGGCATCGCGCAGGCGTCCTCGTCCATTGTGGCGCGAAGGAAGGCATTGCTGATGTCCCAGGGGCCAATCAGGTAGACCTCCCGTTTGCGCTCGAGCCCAGCCACCATCGCGAGCGCGAGCCTCAGGAACTTGCGGGGGCGGGGCGCCTGCGAACGTATCGTCGCGCACCTGGCGCGCAACCTGCATGGCCACGAACCTGCGCATCACGGCGCCTGTCCCCGTCTTCCACTCCTGGAGCCCCGTGGGCCGTTTACCTCGCGCATCGTGGGCGTAGACTCGCTCGAGCACGTTGTGTTTCTTCATCTTTCCTCGCCCCCGAGCACGCCATTCCTTCACTTTGTCTGCAGGCAACAATTGCCCCGACAACGCCCCCTTGCTGTTGGTCAGGACCTTCTCTTCGACGGGCTCGGATGCGCACTCGCCCGGGCCCGCAGCGCAGACCGTGGGCGGCGTGCGCACCCGGGCAAACCTCCGATAGTGCGCGCCTTCTTGCTATCAGGGATCTCCTCCTTCCCTGGGGTCTGTCTCTTCGTCCCCTCTGAGATCTCGATGGGCTCCTGGCCCATCCTCTCGGCGCTGCCCCCTGCATCAGGCATGGCCGCGTCTGCCCCGCCTCCGTGAGCTGGCTGCGTCGGCGCGGCTGCTGGCGCCGCGGCAGCTGCTGGGCCCGGGGGCGCCCGGCCGCCGCTGGCCGCTGGCTGCGCGGCCTCGGCCAGCCCCCTCTTCCCGGTTGCCGCCCTCGCCGGGGGGGGGCGCGTCGCCTCGAGCCCCAGCCTGGGCAGCCAGGCCCTTCGCAGTGTCCTCTGCGTCCAGCAGCGCATCCATGCGAGCTCTGTACTCGGCCGCGCGCTGCTGGCCCGTCCCGTCGCAGGCGGCGCAACTGGGCGCCCCCCCAGGCGGCCGAGGATCGCCTCGGTCAGGCACCTCGGCCGCGAGACGGGCCCAGCCACCAGAAGGGCCGCCTGCGGACCGAAAGGGGCGCGCACGATCTGGCCGAAGAGGCGCTTGTTCCATCTCTTCTCGCCGGGCCTCCTCGCGATCGAACGCGCGAAGACCCTGCCCCTGGGCGCGCCGATCGCGCGCTCGTCGTTGACTTCGGCCCTGCCTAGCCAGATGCATGAGTTTGCCCCGCCAGGCCTCCATCTAGCCTGCAGCTCCCGCGGGCAGCTCGTGCGCCGCGGCCCCTGCGAACTCAGCGATCTGGCCGCGGTAGCCCCCCCCCCCTTGAGCCGTCGACGCGGCGTTGAGCCATCTTCTCTCACGGTAAACCCCAAGCAGGTGCAAATAGGGTCGCCGGACTTCAGCTCGACTCTGTAGTGCGCATAGACGGCGTACACCAAGGTGCGGGCGAACTGCTGAACCCTGCCCCCCGCTGCCTCGATCGGCCCCATTCGACTTGGAACCCAGCCTTGGACCGACCTGCACGACAGTCTCCTCGCCGCGCTCCGCGGCGACAGCTCTGCCCAGCGCCGCGATCGCTTTCTCCTGGCCACTGGGCAACGCACCGCGCTTGCGGCCCCAGAACTGGAGGGCCTGCACCAGGGCCTCGATGCCGCAATCGACCGCGCCCGTCTCCATCACGTTAGCGCTCTCGATCGCTGTTGACTCGAAGTCCAAGCACGCCGGCAGCGCCATCACGTCATTAGCGTTGCGCATGCCTGGGGGCGAGTAGTCAATCAAGACCTGCGGCGCATCGCGCCCTTGGTCTATCCTGCGGCGGCTGACTTCCCCACGCCCCCCCCCTGGCCGGGCGCGCCGCGCCTTGCGCCGCGATCGGCAAGGCCAACGAGTGAGACGGTGCATCTGTCTCTCGGCGAACGGAGGCATCACTGGCACCCCCCATGCTTGCGCAGCTCGGCCATCAGGACTGTCGCACAACTCGATCGCGTTCTTCCGCTTGACGACAATCTCCTGGCGGTCGCTGACTAGCCTCGCCTGCGCTGGGGCCGCCGCCGCTGCGGCTGGCGCCGATGACCTCGCCGCTGCTCCTCCAGCTGCTATCTGGACTCCACCTTCAGCTCCATCGGGTTCCCGAACTTCTCGATAGACTGGTACACGTTGAGCTGCAGCTGGCTGCCTGAGCGGCGCGGTCGCGATCGCGAAGTCGCTGGCCGTGACCGCGCGCTGCAGCTGCAAGTACCAGATGCGCCTCTGCAGGGTCAGCGGGAAGAACCTTCCGCCGGGCGCCTCCAGCAAGCTCGCGTAGACGCCTGACCTCGGCACGAATCCCGCCCCCAGCAAGTCCGGCCCCCAAGAGGCCTCCCAAGAGAGCCCCACTAGGCAAACATCAGATTTTCTCTTTGGGTGTTTCTATGGTTTTTTCGCGTTCTCGCGTTTTCGGGCTTCCGACGCTCCCAGATGGCCCCGGAGATTTCCAAGACCGCCCCCAAGACGGCCCGACAGGCCCCCATGCAAGAAAGCCCTAAGACAGACCAAGAGGGCCCCGAAACGGCCCCAGAGACGCCCAAGATCGCCCAAGAGGGCCCCAAGAGGGGGAACACGAACCACCAATTCAAGCCGTTTTCCCCGAGATGCCCCTCGGAGGCCCCAAGGAAGCCCCCTGGAGCGCGTTTCCTCATTTTCGACGATAGTGAGCATTATTGGGGCGGGGGGGGGGGCGGGGAATATAATGTAACGCCCCCCCTCCCCGCCGTGTGGCTCCGGCACCACAGCCGCGCCCGTGCGCACGACGACGATGAGCGACGAGCGACGAGCGACGAGCAACGACGACGACGACGACGACGACGACGACGACGACAACGACACGAGCAACATGTAGGTGGCGACCTGCCCCACAGCGCCTGTGTACACCACAATGCTCGCGTGCACCACAGCGCTCGTGTACACCACAGCGCCTGCGTACACCGCAACAGCCGTGTGCGACGCAACGCCTGTGTACACCACAATGCTTGCGTGCACCATAGCGCCAATGTACGCCTCAGTGCTTGCGTGCACCACAGCGCCGGTGTACACCACAGCGAGTGCAACACCGCAACAACCATGTGCAACACAGCGCCTGCGTACACCACTATGCTCGCGTGCACCACAACTCGCATGTACACCCCAGTGCCTGCGTACACCGCGACAGACGTGTGCGACGCAGCGCCTGTGTACACCACAATGTTCGCGTGCACCACAGCGCCGGTGTACACCACAGCGAATGTGCAACACCGCAGCAAGTATGTGCAACGCAACGCCTGTGTACACCACAATGCTTGCGTGCACCGCAGCGCCTGTGCACACCACAGCGCCTTTCTACACCACAGCATCCGCGTGCACGCATCGCTAGTGTACACCAGTGCCTGCGTGCACAAGACAGGTAGAACGAGCATGTAGGTGAGGATCTGCTGCGGACAGCTAACGCCACGCCAGGGAAGTGTTGAGAATAGAATGCGACGTTCTTCTCTCCGTCCCTCCTCCGCCACATCCTCCTCCCTCCTCCCCCTCCTCCTCCTCCTCCTCCTCCTCCTCCTCCTCCCTCCTCCTCCTCCTCCTCCTCCTTCCTCCTCCCTCCCCCCCCCCTCCCCCTCCTCCCCCTCCGCCTCCTCCTCCTCCTCCTCCTTCTCCTCCTCCTCCTCCTCCTCCTCCTTCACCATTCCCCGCTGTCGGACCAATGCGGGCCAGGCTCCTGTGCGGATTCCTAGGCGGACACCGATGCGGATCCCGATGCGCACGGCGGCAGCGCCCGGAACCGCACGGCGGCAGTGCCGGGGGAGGGGCGTTACGCTATAGGGGGGGGAGGGGCCCGGGGGCTATAGTGCCCATTGTGCCCCCAAGGGATTAAGAAACACGCCCCTGGAGGCCCCACGAGGCTCCCAAGAGGCCCAAAAAGAGGCCCCAGGAAGCCCCCTAATGGCACCAAGAGGCCACGAACGCGCAGGAAACGCATACGACGGCACAATACGGGCCGTCGGAATGAGCGAAGCGATGCGTAATCAAGAACCGTGACACAAGAGCACGAAAAATGGTCACCTGGCTATTTTCAATATTCTTGAATCTCTCTCCTGCAGAGGGACATGGCCCAACTTACGCGCAGAATTTTGGCACGGGCATGACTGCAAGGGGTCTGAAGCAAACGACGCCTGGACGCCACGGCTTCCCCCGCCACCCGCTTCTTCGCCCCCGAGCCGAGCCGCTTGGGACGGTCCCTGGGAGGCCCGGGGGAGGGCCCCGGGGGGCCGAAACCGACGGGGGCCTCCAGGAACACCTTTCTCTCAGGGGCGTGGGCGTGGCTGCGGGCGCGGGCGCGGGCGTGGGCGTGGGCGCGGGCGTGACACCTCTCCTCCCCTCCTCCCTGGGGGCTGGGCGGGAGAGCACCAGGCGGAGGGGGAAGGCCAGAACCGCGGGAGACTCTTCCAAAAACAGCGGGGGGTGGGGAGGCAGCTTTGCCCTCGAAGGTTATCGACTGCCCGCAAGAGTGACCCTGGCTAAGAGTGACCTTTCGTGCGCGGCTCGTTGAGTGCCGCGGGGGGACCAAACACAGGCAGACAAGACGCTACCATCGTACCGCAATCGGCCATCGGGGGGTCCTAAGCGGCGAGCACCAAAGGTTACTCCGGCGAAGAGTCACTCCCACGGGTAGTCGAGGTTGGCCCTTCCTCGTCGGACCCCCCGGCGTGTCCGCAGCGCGGACGGGGCATTTCGTCGGAGCCTTCCTCCCCGCCCGAGGCCCCCGAAGCTGGAAATTTCCGCCGGTGGCATGGATGGAGGGGACCGTCTTCAGAACGTGGCGCGCACATTCGCCTTGGAAGACTCCAACTGCGACATCGACGGAGGGAGTCGTTCATGAACTGTGCCGCTCGCACTGGCGCCGCACATCTTATTTTCCTATGCTTTGACTGCTACAGGGAAATGTGGCTCTCGCATGATCGCCAGGCACATTCGTCATTTTTTACTGAAAGAAAACTGGAACAGCTGCGCGGATCGAGGGGGGGATCGTTTTCAAAATGTGACTCTCCGTTAGCGCCGCGCTTTTTGCCCAACAGCTTCCGAATGCTGCAAGGATGGAGGGGGGTCGCGTTCAAACTTTTGCTCTCGCCGTAACGCCACGCCTACTCGTCATATAACGCTCCCGACAGTTATACGGATGGAGGGCGGCGTCTCCTCATCATGTGTCTCTCGCCTTCGCGCCGCGCACGAGCCACTACCACCAGAACTCCATAGAACTCCGTCGCCAAGAACCACCACCACCCAGAGCCGGTGAAACTCCGTTCTGGGCACCCTGTGGGGGCGCGCCCGGAGCGGGGTACCGCCAGCTCGGGGAGAGGGAGCGGTCAGCCCCCCTAGCTGGTGGTGGTAGTTCTTTCTT